ATGATATTGTGCAGGTCAATGAGCAGGTTGTGGTGAGTCGGGGAGGACGGGGGTTTGAGGGTGGTGCTGGTTTCGGCAGTCAAGTCGTGGACAGGGAACTGCAGGGCTGGGAGGATTTGGGGGAACACGGGGGCTGCGGGTGGGAGGACGTGGGGGGACATGGGCGCTGTGATCTGCAGAATGCAGGAGCCGTGGCTGGGAAAGGTCTGGGGGACGCAGGAGCCACTGCTGGGGGGGATGCGGGAGCTGCTGCAGAGGAGGATTTGGGGGACGTGGGAGCTGTGGCTGGAGAAACGTGCAGGACACAGGAGCCATGGCCAGGGAGATCTGTGGGATGTGGGATCTGTGGCCGGGGAGGATGTGGGCGACGCCGGAGCTGCAGCCAGGGAGGGTTTTCAGGATGCAGGAGCCGTGGGGCTGGGAGGGTACATGGGGCCGGAGCCAGGTGGCCGTGGGGCAGCGTGAGGCCGGGGCCACGGCTCACCAGGGTGTGTGTGCAGGTGGGTTGGACACGCGTCAACCTGGCAAAGAAGCTGCTGGAGAAGGTGAGCGGGATGACGCTGGTGCTGAAGAAGATCCCCCTCGACCTGCCTGGCTTGCCCCCCTCTCCCAGGCAGCAGGTGAGTGATCCCAGTGCTCCCAGTACAGCCCCAGTGCCACACTGGGCTCTGCTGGGAACCAGGCAGGGATGCTTGGAGCCGGGCATCTCCCATCATGCTGGTGGTCCCTGAAGCTCTGGGAGACCATGGTGGGATACAGGCTGGCCCTGACGCTCCATCCGCAGCTCCCGGGAGCATTTTCAGATGCTGCAGATCCCCCCAGCACCAGGAGCGGCGAGTGCCCAGGCAGCCCCGTGTCCCTGACCTCCAGGTGAGCCCCGTCCCCTGACACCCCAAGCCCAGCCAGCACGGAGGTGTTTGGGTGCACCCGAGACCCCTTTGCAGCTCTTTCTGGGGGGAGAGGTGCCAGCAGCGCGGCAGCTGCCTGCGAGCGACCCGGGAAGCTGCCAGTAGTCTTAAGGAACGAAAAAAAAGTGGTTGTGTTTGTAATTCATTCACTTGGTAACGTTTTAATGGGGTTGAAACTATATTTAGACATGACCCTTCTCCTCTCCCGGAATGGAAAGGCGTGCGCGGAGCCAGCGGCAGCACGGGCGAGCCGGGCAGGAGCCGCCAGGCTGGGCTCGGACCCTGCTGGGGAGCACGGAGGCCGGTGGAGC